AATTTTGTCAGAGCAAAAAAAAAATTATTTTTAGCCAATGTGTGAATACAGAAAAAGAAAGTCTTTTTTGGTTAAAAAAGTATTCTCTTAAACAGGCATAAAATTGCTTCCTTATAAAATGCTTCCAACCTTAAAATTTTAAAAAGATTTTGATTTATTGTTTTTTAAATTTTTATGTGCATGTGTGTTTTGTCTACATGTATGTAAGTGCATCTGTGTTGTGCATTGCCTGTGGAGGCCAGAAGACAGTGTTGCATACCCTGGAACTAAAGTTACAGATGGTTGTTAGCTACCATGTGGATGCTGGGAACTGAACCTGGGTCCTCTGCAAGAGCTGCCAGAGCTCTTAACCACTGAGCAATCTGCCTAGTTCCAAGATTAAAAATTTTGAAATAGGAATGCAGTTTTAAAATGGGTCTTTTTAAATCAAAGATTTGGTGTGGCCCAAATCTTATATTAAATTTCTATCAAATATATTCAGCCAGCTTTGCAGGTTAAAGCTTCAGCATTTAAAATGTAAGTAACTGACGAGAATTAACATCTGTATGTGTTTATGCCAGGATGTATTTGACTGAGATCATTAGAGTAAGTGCTGGCCTGGTAGAAAATGTTGGAGCCTGAGTCACCCTGGCTGATAAGTCATCACCCTGAGTGTCATCCATCCTGCTTGTGAAATGGGGCTGCTTGTGAAAAGGAAAGGATTGGCCCAGAGAACCACTCAGCCATCTTCATTTTGTATGCCTATGAATTTAATGCTGTAATCTTTTTTTATTTTTAAACTGGGTATTAGTCCTAGGTTTGTGCATGATAGGCAAGTGCTCTACCATTAAGCTACATCCCCAGCCCTGAAACCATCTTAAACTATTGCATTTCCTATTTCAAAAAGTAATTTTTGGAAATGAAGAACTCCTCTTTTGCATGCTGTGTAGTTCTTGATTGAGTCCTCTCTCTTTAATGTGAGTAATCGTGTAAACAGATACAGAAATGAGATGAGAATGGCAGAGTTAAAGCTTTCTATAAAAGTACAGAAATGAAGGTCATGAGTCTTCAACGTGCCTTTGATCTATAAGAATGTGCGTGTGAAAGGCCAATGTGGCCACATTTGCAGTCCCATGAGAATGGCCTAAAGCTCAGAGACATTAGAGAACCTACGTCATACTTTTTTCTCCCTTCTGGTAATGAATTTGAACTGTTTTCCTTACTGTGTAACCCAAAATGTCATTCACAGTCACCTTGCCTCCAAAATGGATGATTGTGTAAGAACCTCATGCTCTATCTTTGCAAGTCTAATAATATTCACTTGGTGATTTCAAAGAATTTGGGGAGATTTAAGTTGTTGATTGCCTGCATTCCTTGTGTTAGTCTGGTTTCTGTGTCCAATTTTCCCAGTTCCCTCCTGGGCTGCTGATGCACGCCTCAGCTTGGTGTGCAGGACTCATGGTCTCACTCCAAATGCTTTTTGTTCGTTATGCAGAACACTGGAGCTCTGTATGTCCTCCCCCCAAATTCTCTGTTCACTCTACTGTGCAGCAAGGGCTTTGAGTCCTTGCTCTTTAACAAGGGGCCTCTGACTCAGCAGCTGCTGCCCTCCTTAGAAGGTGACTTTGTTTTAAATAGTATTTTTCCAGCAAATAAAATTTTAACCATATTTAATGATTTTCTGTTTCTGACAGGTCAATGAAGGGCCTAAACTAGGGAGTTGGCAAACTTTTTCTGTAAAGGACTAGATAGCAAATATGTGTGGCTGTGTAGTTTCCTTGTGGTCTCTGACACAACTCCTCAGCTCTGCTGTGATATTCTGAAAGTTGGCATGGACATTGTGAAAGCAAACAAACATGGTCGTGCCCCAGTAAAACTTTATTTATAAAACAAATCACAATTTATGTATGATTCAAATATTTATTCCTTTATTTATTTTTATCATTTTTATATTTATGAGTTTTTGCCTGCATGTAAGTGCACCCATGTTGTGCAATGCCTGAAGAACCCAGAAGAGGGCTTCAGATCCCCTGAAATGTGAGTTATGGAAGGTTGTTAGCCACCATGTGGGTGCTGGGAATCAAACCTGGGTCCTCTGCAAGAGCAGCCAGTGCTCTGAGCCATCTCTGCAGCCCAGTTATTTATTTATTTTTTTTAACCTCAAAATACCAATGATAGAAAGCTTTCCATAGGAGTAGTAAGAAGTTTTAGCTCTGGGCCTTACACCTTGCTTACATTTGTATTGTTTTACTTTAATTCTTGGGTATCTTGCATGGATCCTGTCTCCACCTCCCCTCTCAATGCTGGGGATTGAACCTAAAACCTCACATACTAGGCAAGCACTCTGTCACTGAGCTATATCCTAATGTCCATTTGACTTTTATCTTAAGACAGGGTCTCACTAATTTGCCCAAGCTGTCCCTAAACTCATTCTGCAACTTAGGCTAGACTTGAATCCACAGTCCTTCTGCCACAGCTGAGATCACAGGCTCAGCCAATATTGGGATTCTTTTAGTGTAAAGGTACAGATTAGAATCTGTACATAAACTTGGAGGCTATTATTGCATATGAAGGTACACTTAGAGTCAGTGAATAGAGAGGGCAAGCCTTACCTGCACAGTATTCTGGAAGTACCATTCTTCCCTGAGGACATTTCTGTTGTGAATGAGAGAATATCCTGGGTTGTGGTAACTGAGGGCACAGTGCCAGCCCTGAGGTAAATGCCAGCTACAGTGCTTTCCTTTTTAAACTAAATAAATACAACTGGAGATTCCAGTATTGTCTTCTGATACTGCAATTGACTGTCTATGCATCCAAATAGCCTTCCTAACTTTTCAGACCAAAGTTGATAGGAGTATGCTTTTCTTATTCTAAAATCTCATATCATGACTTTTTAGACTTGAGCCCTACTGGTGTTTCTTTCAGTCTTCTGTTACTTCTAGCAGAGCTTCATGCATAAGTAAGCATCATAATGCATGTAGGGCCTATGAGATGGACCAAGCCTGACAGCCTGAGCTTAGCCCCCAGAACCCACATGGTAGAAGTAAAGAACTGACCCCCATAAATTGTCCTTGAGCACACATATACACATAAATAAATAAATAAATGTATCTATGTGTACATGTTTCACTTTAAAGTGGGTTCAGGAAATATCGAGTAGTATTTTATTTTGTCACTGTATTAGTTACTTTTCTGTTGCTGTGATAAAACACCATAACCAAGGCAGCTTATTGAAGGAAGGATTTATTTGTGCCTACAGTTCTAGAGGGGTAAGAGCCTATAATGGTGGGGGAGGCATGGCGGCAGAGGTGTCTAGAACAGAAAGCCTAGTGATCACATCTTCAAGCAGGCACAGAAAGAAGAGAGCAATTAGATAATCTGACAAGGCATAACTCTCAAAGCCCACCCTCTCAGTGATGTGCTTCCTCTGGCAAGGTCACATCTCCTAAAACTTCCCAAAACAGCAGTACCACCTGGGGACAAAATGTCCAAATACTTGGAGCCTATGGGGGACAGTCTCATTCAAACCACCACAGTCAGCCTGATTGAAGATGGACAGCGTATATCTAGTGTTTATTTGTTTGGGTCCTGTTAGTTTACTGGGTTTTATTTGTTTCATCTAGTAGAGTATCCTAAAGTTACCACACTAGCCAGTTAAATTGTATGATAAGATTTCCACAGTAAATTTCCTTGGGTGCTTGTTCAAGTTAGCCATTCATCTCAATATGTTGCTACTTCTGACTTATGGAACATTCTTTTTGTTAGTCATTCACATCCTTGCTCAAAGTATTGATTTTTCTGAGTTCAAATCATCTATCTTGGAGCACTATTATACACTCATGTGTAAAAGCAGTTTGGACAGACTGTGTTGTGAGGATTGAAATACCCAAAGGTAACTTCTTGGTCCTTGAAGGGTGGCAACAATGTGGTACTGATGCCTTTCATTGGCTTCATTGATGCCAAAATGACAAGATGTCCTTGGAGACTCCTAACTGGTTCCAGGGAAGTCTCTGGAAGTAGAGAGAAGCAGCAGGTAAATATTCTCTTCTAGAAAGGAACTATATCATTCACTTGACTGAACAGAAGAGAAAGTATAAAAAAAGCTGAAATCTAGTAGGATCTTGGGTAGACACAAGTACCTGATTCCATTGTACAGCTAGGGTTGAAAGTAATAGGTGAAGAGACTAGGAACTCGTTGGGCCAATAGAAGAAAAATCAAAATCAAGAGTCTCAATAAAGTTTTTAAAGAAGTCAACAGTAATAAAAAAAGTTACTCATTATATCCAGACATGGTGGTGTACACCTGTATCTCAGCACTTAGGAGGCTGAGGCAGAAAAGTCATGAGTTGGAGGCCAACTTGGGCTACATTGTGAGTTCCAAGGCAGCCTGGGAAATTTATTGTGACCATGTCTCAAAAAACAAAACAAAGCAAAACAACAGCAAAAGGAATTACCTGTTATAATGGAAAAGTTGGAAAAAGATGGAACCATTTTATTGCTTTAAGCTGAGACAGTGCACTAGCAGACATGTAATTTTCTTTGACTACATACTGATCACACAAGATGGAAGGTTGTGTATTATATGATGGCACAGAGAACCAAGATTCATAAAGTGATCCCAGAATGTGTGATGGGCTTTGGAAGTTTGTTGGCTTATTGCTAGACACTTCTAATTTTAGATGATCATTTGTGGACTTTTTTCTTATAGCTACTTTACCTGGGCGTGCAAATGTGCATATGTACACCTCATAAGAAAATTGTCCTTAGAGGATTGATTTGATTTTAGAGGGAAGCCAGGGCTTTTGGTCTGACAAAGCAAGATGGGGTGAATCTGTCCCACTCTGTGTTACTCTCCCCACGTCTACCACATGATCTAGCACATCTGGAGCCTGCCTGGGAGGGCAGCACTCCTCCCAGTCTCGCTGTTCTCACTATACTTCCTGTGTCTGGAGCAACGTCTTATACTCAGTGAGTAGTGACTGAGTATTTGTCAGTGACCCTGCATACTGCTTTTGTTGTAGGAAGCAGTGCAAGTATTGATTAAGCACTCTGCTGATGTCAACGCGAGAGACAAGAACTGGCAGACCCCGCTCCATGTGGCAGCAGCCAATAAGGCTGTCAAATGTGCAGAAGTCATCATTCCACTACTGAGCAGTGTCAATGTCTCTGACCGAGGGGGGCGCACAGCCTTGCACCATGCGGCTCTGAACGGCCATGTGGAGGTAAGTGTTCACATCATTGGGAACTGGGACACTCCAATCAGATCCTGTTAACTACAAGCATGACCATTGGGATTGCTGAGACTTTTAGATAATGTGAGGATAATGTGAGGTGCATCACTTGGCAGCTCTACTCCATTCTCAAATCTAGAGCCATAATGAATTGAAAAAGTAGGTTGTCATTTCATTCTTTTCCTTTGACACCTGCCACATGGCCTGTTGTGACATCAGCTTCCTACTCCAGATCTCCAACTTGCTGTTAGGGTTGATGTTAATTTGGTTCAGATCACCTCCAGGCAGTGAGGAGCCCTCATTATTACAGAGGGAATGCTTGATTTCATTATTGGTTATCTTTCAGATGGTCAGCTTACTCTTGGCTAAAGGGGCCAACATCAATGCCTTTGACAAGAAGGACCGACGTGCCCTCCACTGGGCAGCATATATGGGTAAGGATTCGTGCATAGAAAGCAAAGTACAGGGGAATTTTTACTTACACAGTGGTAAGTGATTGCCTAACTTTCACAAGGCCCTAGGTTTGATCCCCAGCCCTGCAAGCAAGCAGGAAAACAAACAAACAACAGCAACAACAAAACACAAACAGATGACCTTAACTACAGAAGCTGCAGGCCTCTTGTTGACTATGTAGGCTTTCTTGGGCAATTCTGACTTCAAGCTTGGGTTCTCCTTGAATGAAGATTTGGCCCATTTTCCTGGCACATGTAGGGTGCTCTAGTTGGACAGCTGCCTTCTCAGAGGTTTACTTATCCCACAAAGAGGGGGAGGATGAATCATGGCCTGGACCTCTTTGAGCATTCCTCACTCTGGGTTGGAAAGCTACACACACTGCTCTTATTTTAGCTTGTTATGGCATTAAATAAAGTGTTTAGAAAAGAAAGAAGATTGGTTAGCCAAGTAAGGACACCCGCGCTGTTTGTCTTTTCATTTCTGAATATCTTTGAAAGAAAGAAGGGAAGGAAGAGAGGAAACCTCTTGGCTGTTTTGAAGGTGGGGGTATGGAATCACCCTAGGTCAGACTTCTGCTGCACTGGGCACAAAGCAGGGACCCTCACACCTCCTCCTGTCCACCTCACCTGCTGGAGGTGAAGAAGAGTTGTATGTCTGCTCTTCCCTTTTCACTTTGATTGCTATAAAGACCGCAGATAAATAGTAGACCTCACCGTTTATTCCAAGGCAGACATAGGGAATGAAGAACTAAGGTTCTTCTGTGTATTTCTAACTGGAGAGCATCCAGTACTTAGAATATAGAATTCTATCAACACCTAGTTGCACACAAGCTGATGCCCATTTGTGGGATATTGTTTGGTAAATTTTGGAAGATCCACACAATGGGATACCATTCAGTACAATGATGATGTTCATGGATGTTTAGAAACATGGAAAGATTCTGTGATACACTAAGGGGAAATACATTATGAAGAAATATGAATAATGCGATCTTCTTTTCTGTGAAAACATCTATATAGTGAAGGCAAATTTGGAAAATATACTGAAATATTAGCTAAGTATCCCTAAGAATTGGTGTTTGTTTTCTTTTGAACTCATTTTTGAATCCTTTTCACATGGATACATGTCTTTTATCATCCTTTTGTTTGTATTTGTTTGTTTGTTTGTTTGTTTGTTTGAGACAGGGTCTCCCTGTAGCCCCAACTGGCCTGGAAGTCCCTATGGAGACCAGGCTGCCCTTGATCTCACAGAGGTCCTCTTGTCTCTGCCTCATGCGCCACCATGCCCAGCCTTTTATCATCATTTAATAATTAACATTACTTATAGGGGGATGAAAGAGTGAGTTAGGGCAGAAATGAAATAAATCATGTTGCTACAGATTTCTAAATGAATCTTTAGACTTAAAAAGCCCAAGAATCTTAAAACTTTGTAAGAATTAACTCTTTATATAGCAGAGCATGACCTTGAGCTCCTGATCCTCCTGCTTTCCAACTGCTGGGATTACAGGTTTGTGTCACTGTGCCTGGCTCACTCTGTCTCTGTCACTGTTTCTCTCTCTGTCAAGTATCACAGACTTTTGAGTTGGCTGAGATCAATTAGATGGCTGCAATGTCCCTGTAGGCCTGGAGCCAGTGAGTGTTTGTCATGAAAGAGCTGTTTGGGCAAAACATACACTGAGATACACGAAGAATCTGGGGCTTCAAGCTCATTCTTGTTGGTTATAATTAAAACATTTTGCTGGCCTGAAGAAGGTCTTTACTGTGTGTGTATCAGGACACAAACAGGAACAAATATAGGTGACTATCTTTAGGAGATAATTGTGTAAAACCAGGACAGATAGCTTGAAATAGCTCTACTAGTAATAGAAAAAAAATTATACAAGTCTTTGGAGAAAAAGAGTCAGTTTTTGAAAAACTTTATTTTACCTTTGAGAATTTCATACAAGTATTGTATTGCATTATTTCCGTCCCCCCAGTTCACCTCCAACTCCTCCCATGCCCCCACCTACTCCCTCTCAATTTCTTGTCTTCTTTAATTATTATTGTTATATGTACCTAAATGAATAAGTAAGTATACGTATATTTAATACACTGAGTCCATTTATTGGTGCTTATATGTACCTGTGTTTAGGGCTGCCCACTTGGGATTAGATAGCCTCTTAGGGAGCTAGTCCTTGAAGAAAACTGATTCTCCCTCTCTCAGCATCCATTAATTGCTTGTAGCTCTTCATTTTAGGTGAGACCTTGTGTGAAATTTTCCCTATTCACCTTAGTATGTCAGTTGGTTTTGTCATTATGCAGATCTTGTTAGACTCCCATACTGTGGAAATTTCATTGGTGTAGCTTCCCTATCATGTCTAGAATGCATTAATTAGCAGTAGGTATCTTGTCCTTCTGGCTTTTACAGCCTTCCCACACCCTCTTCCTCCATGTTCCTGGTGTTTAGGTGTAGAAGTTGTATTGTAGATGTATCACTTAGGTCTGAGCATCTCACAGTCATTTATTTATTCCACAGCTATAAAGCTGTGGAACTTTATAGTAGTCTACATCTATTGCAAAAAGAAATGTGTTTGATGAGTGGTGAGAAGTACAATTGTCTGCAAATAGAAGGCTATGTATTTAGAATATAGCAATAAATTACTTGGAAAGAGTCAAATTTTAATAAAACAAGCCAATACTGGTCTCTCTGTCTTTCTTCCTCCCTGTGGCACCCCGCCCCATGTACTCATGTGTACATTTTAGGTCCTAGAGTCAGTATTGGTCTTGTATCCTTCAATTAACAACCATGTTTATAGCAACTAACTTGAAGCTTTGTCATCTTCGGTTATGAAATAAAGGGCAAAAACATTTCTCATGCTAAACAGAGTAAATAAGAGAACAGAGTTCAAATGCCCACAGGGGTTGAGATTAGAAAGGTTTCTATTTAGTGACTAATTCATACGAGTTATTTTATGTGGAACCATATGAAATTGCCTTTCTATGGGTTGAAAACCAGCAAAGCAATAGCACTTTCAGATTTAACAATAATCTGGGGACATTCTGATTACTTGATTTTTGTCTTTAATCAGTTTTTCTGTTCTAAATTGTTGCTGTTGGATTCTTTTGGTGAGGAATGGCAAGAAGTGTTTCCATCTTTTTTTAAAAAAATATTTATTTATTTTATGTATATGAGTGTTATGCTTGCTTGTGTGTAAGTGCACCCATGTTGTGCACTGCCCATGGAAACCAGTAGAGGGTGTTGGATCCCTTGGAACTGGAGTTCTGGACAGTTGTTAGCCACCCTGTGGGTGCTGGGAATTGAACCCTGGTCTTCTGCACAAGCAGCCAGTGCTGCTCTTAACCACTGGGCCATCTCTCTAGCTCCAACTGTTTCCATCTTAAAAGAACTTTTTTGTTGTTGTTGTTATTTCTTTTTTTTTTTGAGACAGGGTCTTACCAAGTTGTCTAGTCTGGCCTGGAACTTGCTATGTAGCCCTCACTGGCCTTCAACTTGCAATCTGCTTGCCTTAGCCTCCCAGCTGCTGGAATTGCAGGTATGTGCCACTTCCAGCGTTAACAGGCTGTAAAAAGGTGCTAATATAGAGTATCCGGACTTTCTTTGCTCTCACAGTGACAACCATCAGTCATCACCTCTGCTACACCTCCTGGAGGCCTTACAGATGAATCATCTTTTTTCTTCCAGTGACATTTATATAATGTCTATACATAGTACATATTCAGTAAATATTTGTTGAGTATTTTCCATGAGGCAGTTTTTTTTTTTTTAAATGGATCAGCAGTATATTGGTGATGATAAAAGCTAGTAGCGATCATTTGGGTGCAATGAATTGTCATATTGTCATAAAGGTAATGATATTCCCTGCTGCTTTGTTTGTCAAGGCCACCTGGATGTTGTGGCACTGCTCATTAACCATGGCGCAGAAGTTACCTGTAAGGATAAGAAGGGTTACACCCCTCTGCATGCCGCAGCCTCCAATGGGCAGATCAATGTCGTCAAACATCTCCTGAACCTGGGGGTGGAGGTAAGCCACTATGGATGCATCACTGCATAGCCTGTGTGTTTGGGGGTTTTCTGCTGTTCTGAAATGAAATCCTGTGTGTATTTTCATTCAAGGGGAAAAAACATTATTTCCTTGCATCCTATATTTTTGAATTTGTGTGAACTAATAGATAGTAATAGGCCATCCATTAGTGGGAAACCAGAACCAGGCTAAGTCTATCCATAGATAGAGAAATATATAAACATTTGTAGTCTACGTAATATATACTAATCATACATTTAAAAAAGACTGGTCTGGTCTAGGGTTCCTCATCCACCTTCAGAAGCTAACCTTGGACATCACAGCTTACATGAAAGAATGGATGGCAGGGATAATTGGGACACATTTGATATTGATTTGGACCTGTTGGCCAGTCCTATTCTCCTTCAACTAGGAGCAGTGGGGAGGCCCTGGACATCCTTCTCTGGAGGAAAGGGGAACTGCCATGTTCTTTCTGAGACCCGGATGGTGATACCCAGCCCCAGAGCAGGTCTTAGAAAGCAGTAGGGAGCCATGGACTAAGCACATCTCAGTACAGAACCACAGCTCTGCTGCTAGATGCAGCTGGTGAGGAGTCAGACTCCAGAGTGAAACCAGAGTGGGTTCTGAGCCTGCCTTGTGTGCATCGGATCCACAGGCACCTCTCCTTTTGTCCCCCACCCCCTCTTCATGATCTTTCTCCAGCCCATGAGTTAGGGGGCTATCTTTTTCTCTCCTGGCATTTCAACAGCAGCTTCACTTTTCACCCCTTTTCCTTTCTTTAGCTGGAAAAAAAACCCCCTCTGCAGGATGAAACCTCTAACTCCCTCCAGGTCATTTTTTGTCACATTCAATTTTGCCTGTCTTTACCCTGGGGAGACAAGTGTTCTCAGGATAGCCTGCTGTGGAGAGAGTAAGCTCTGAATAATTATGCTGACGGATGGATATTTCCTTTCTCTCGCTAGAGCCATTAGGCTTTTTGTGGCAAATGGAGTAAATTGGCTCCAGTGATTTTAATTGCTCTGTGTTGGACGCTTTGCAGATTGATGAAATCAATGTCTATGGAAACACGGCACTTCACATCGCCTGCTACAATGGCCAGGATGCTGTTGTTAATGAGCTGATCGACTATGGTGCTAATGTGAACCAGCCCAACAACAGTGGCTTCACCCCTCTGCATTTTGCTGCGGCCTCTACTCATGGTGCTTTGTGTCTAGAATTGTTGGTAAATAACGGGGCCGATGTGAATATTCAGGTATGACACTCTTGGTCTGTTTGTCGTAAATATCTGTGCATTGAGCCTTAGTTTGAACAAAGCTATGCTGTCAGTTATGCTGTTTTCATGAATTGGAAGCACCTTGACTTACACAGCCTTATCCTGGATTGAGAGGCTATGGAAAGAGCTGGGTTGCTTCTCTAGTGTGGTGGTACCAGTAACATGGCACCCAGGCTCCAACCATGTCTCTTTGGTGGTTTAGTGAATGCTCCAGGGAAAATACTGGGCCTTAAGGGTACTGATTTAGCCCAGATTATATAGGCATCTATGGTTAGCTGATAGGGCAGAGATGCTGCAAATTCAAAGGAATGCCTAACTAATGATTATTCCCAACCTCAGCATGGTCTTCAAATGCTTTCCTTCAGCAAGCTGTACACAGTGGCTTCAGAGATGTACTAGATTGTAATGAGCACGGCATCAGCCCTGGAGTTGAGTAAAGACTGCCTTGCTCCCTATTGGTAGTGAGGGAGAACCTGAGATGAGATGTGATCTCTGGCCCTCATGGAATTCACAGTATAGTAAGGAAATACTCTCAGACAATTATGAGGACAAGAGAGAACATGATAAGTGCCCAGAGAGAAACTAACAAAGCTCTACAAAGGAGACGAAGCACATGCTAACTTGCTTCTTGTCTGGGGATAAAAAGCAGAGGTTGGTTTGGTGCTGAGATTACAAGTTGAGAGAAGGAGCCAGAGAGATCATTTGAGAGATGGTGTTTCCCACAAAGAATGGTGTGAGCACAGGAGGTAGGAGCTGTGGGTAGGAAAGCTTGAGTGACTGGCAATGCTCAGCTGGCTATGGTGGCTGGGCATGCAGTGTCATCCTCTGGGCGTTACTGGAATGTCCACGCCTGTAGCAGAAGAGCCCGGCCAGTGCCAGGAGATCTTCCTTCGTCCTCAGCTTCAACTTCTCGTCTCCCAGGCATGTGGGAACCTAAAGCAAAATTCCAGGATGTTCTATCTCTAATACTGAAAGTTCTCAGAGGCTTAATTTCAGCTTCTACGTGATAAAAGGTTTAATTTCAAACTTTTATGTGACAAAATAAAGCAGAAAAAGGAAGAAGCACACCAACTCTAAAGCAAAATTGAAAGGAGCAGTTCAGGGAAATTTTTGTGCAATATACATGGCAAGCAAAAGTTAAAATGCTTAATATGTAAAGAATTCATGCTAATCAACAAGAAAGTGTCTAAAAACTTAGAAAATTTAGGCAAAGCAGAACTTGAGCGAGACTATAATATCCATTAAGCCCATGAAAAAGAATTCTGTATCATTAGTAATTAGAAAAATACAGACTAATACTTTATTAAAAAGAATATTAATGTCATAAAGAATATTATTACCTGGTATTATCTCAGAAAAATAGATACGTGATTTAATTTTTACATTTTTTTCCCATTGTTTTTTGAGACAGAGTCTTGTTGTGCAGCCCAGATGGGCATGGAACTTGCTGTCTTCCTGCTTCAACCTTCTGAGAGCTGAGATTATAGGTGGACGACACCAGGCCAGCTCCACTTTTATAGTTTTAAGGAGTTATATGCTATGTGTATGCATAGAAAAAGAGTAAACTATCTAGAGTGTGTGTCACTGTTACTGCCCTTGGCTCATACTTACAGAGGCACAACATTTTGATCTAGTATTTTAGTTTCTTTTTCGTATTTAAAAAAAAAATCTTCTGATGATTATTAAATGGGCATGATATTTTTATATAAAAAGAGAGCTATTTTCATTTTGAGAAAAAAAAATAAATCCAGATGCAGTGGACCTAGAAAAGGGATGATTTCACAGTAACTGAAAATCAGTAAAACTAGTCTAGGTACGAGGTAATGAAGATGGAGATTGGGTTGGAGTCAACGGAAGTTGGAGGCTTTACAGAGAATCAACAAGATCTGGCTAGACACGGGAGAGGGGTTTGAAGATGGGCTTGAGGAATGGAATCTGGGGAAGGGAGATGACATTGCAAACTGGCTAAGTGTTCAGTTCTGGGTCCAGACTGCCTACCTGCTAGTTCTCACCTTGACTTCCGGTAACTAATCACATGCACTCTCTCTGATCTCAGTTCTTTAATTTGTAAAATTCAGGAAACAATAGCATCTTCTTCATGGGCTGGTTGTAAGGATTAAACATAGTTTTCACTCCTAAGTTGCACAGCACAGAGTCTGCCATCTTTAAGTCCTTAATATTGCTCGTATTCAGGAGAAAAGTAGGCTTAGGAGGTAAACTGATGCACTTAGTTTTTTTTTTTAATTGTTAGTCTTAAAATTTTACTACTTTCTTACCTATTTATTTTGTGTGCTGCATGTATATACATGTGGGGATGTATGCATGCCAATGGCAGGCATGTGGTATTCAGAGGACAACTTGTGGGAGTTGGTTCTCTCCACCATGTGGGTTTTGGGGATTGAATTCATGTCCTTAGGCTTGGTGGTGAACACCCTTATCTGCTGAGTGATCTCACTGGCCCTGCATTTACATGTTGAGAAATTGATTTCAAGCCTTTAGTACAGCCAGCCTGAGGATGAAATGTGATAGTGGAAGAGTAGTAGAGAATGGAAAACAGAAGCATCTCAGGTTGCCTCGTTCATATAAAGATGGCAGTTGAAACTGAGGAAAGGGTGGTTTCATCTAAGGAGAGAGTAAAAGCCTAAGAATGGGAAGGACATCTCCACAAGTCCTTGAATCTTAGGAGGAGGAAGAGCCAGAGAAAAGATGAGAAGAGGTAGAGAAGGGAAGAAAGAGCTGAAGTATTGTCACGAAGGTACAAGGAAGACAGAAACAAAGGAATGGCTGGTGAGTATTTCAGAGCTCTACATCCTGTAAGTGGAGGCTGCCTGAGGTCCCAGGAAGAGGTAAGAGGGCCACTGGAAGCGTGGAGGAGACCAAAGAGCTATAGGCCATGGTGGCAAAGAGTCTTTGTGTGGAGTTGAAGTCACAGAGTATGGTGACCAGGGAGCAAGAAACATGCAAGTGAGCAGACTGTCAGTGTCTCTAGGGCCGAGGATATCAGTGGACCTCTCAGAGGGAAGATGATGGCAGTTAGATGAAGGCACTGTCTTTGCAACCTTCCACTTAATTAGCTCACAGGTTGTCTGATGTTCCTCTCCCTCATGTCCTGATGCTCTCAGTGTGCTGATACCCAGAGCTAGAAGGCCACTTACTGGCATGCTGCCTGATCTTCCAGTTAGCTGCCTGGTGGTCAGTTCAGGCTTAACCTGTGTGTGTTAGTTGGTTTATGCCAGCCTTATCTTCGTTCCCATAAAATGGACCTGAATAAAAGCATATTTACTTCATTTTAATACTTAGGTTTTTCTTATAGACTCCGAATCTTAAATAGAATATGAGAAACACTGTTCAAAGCCTGAGGTGTTTATATGTATCTATTCACTGTGTGTTTGGAATCCTATTTGGCCTTCTTTCTTAGCCTCCCTTCTTCTCCTGTGTTTCTCTGTTCTGATTGTATAATTCCCTCAGGATCCTCCTTTGAGACTCAGTGTATATGCTAAACACACCCATCACCCACCATTTCTATAGAGCCATCCTGGCTGACTCAGGAGGCAACTTTCTAGTTAGAGTTGTTATCTCTCTGTTCCACATTGCTCTCAGATTTTGAAAAATGTTTGTGGATGATAGACAGTTTGTATTTGTTTAGATTTCTCAAAGTTTGAGGGAAACAGCGTATTGAAATGCAGCCACTACCCACACCCTGTTCACTTTGGTTTCCTCTTACAAAATACTAGGAGGTGTGTCTTTGTGAACAGTAACAAGATTGATGGGAAGAGAGGCTATGTACTCTGCGTGCATGCTACAGTCTTTAGTTTTTCTTACGCTGATCTCATTTTACTTTGCTTTGACTTTTCACCGTTTAACTGATAAAATAATAAAGACATGGTATTTTATACAAAAAAAGTACTGAAGATTCACTAGTAACTTGCCAATAAGAATACATAATTTTTCATCTCTACTATGGACCAGATTGTAAGTTTTGTAGCACCTCAAGAGTATTTTTGTAGACATTCAAAAGAAGGGTTCAAGAAGGTTCTATATACATAGCCACACTGGGTGAGACAGAAAAACAAACACAGCCATGTTGCCTGCCTTTTGGACACTGATATTTAGCCTGTCCATGATCTTAGTTGTTTTCAGTTCGTGGGCCTTATGCCTAGGGGAATGGAGCTGAAGTGTGTTGTGTATCTGCTGACGTGGGCCGGTTCCCTTCTCTGTTATGTATCACGACCAACTTACAGAATGGGTTGTGTCGCAAACTGGAAGAGACAGGAGGAAGCAGCAACAGGGACATGAACTTGGAATTTCGGAGGGGAAGTAAGGAAAAGAGGGGAATGAATATCCGAGCTCTTGCATATCATCTCTGGCCTTTGAACCACTAAAAACAAGATAAATTGGGATGTGTTTAGTTTTTAAAACCAGCATTTATATGTTCTTTTGTTGACTTAGGGGGCCTTGCTGGGTACCTGCATGTAAGGACACCCTGATTTAGTATAATCCCACAGGGATTATAGGCCACTGACCCCCCCATGACTATAGGAAGCATCATGCCACAGAGAAAATCCTGCTTTTAAGTCTCCAAGGAGTAGCAATGTCATTTAGGGAAAGTTTAGGGGATGTTGGAGCCTATTCAAAGAAGGCATTATGAACTAAAGAAAAATTAATGGATTTCTGAGGAATCTGATGGTCAAGAAAATTTGTACACTCCATTGAGTCAAGGATTTATTTTCTTGGACAGTGTTGGATTGTACCCCTGTAAAAAGTACTAATATTTGTCACAAAATAATCTTAATTCTCATTGCTTTCCTTTATGACTTAGGGTTTAACCATACCTAACTCATCAAAAGAGTTTCTTGTTTAATTAAACAAATTCTCAAAGCCCTAAATCTGATGATAAAATATACCTAGGAGGGGCTGGAGAGATGGCTCAGTGGTTAAGAGTACTGACTGCTCTTGCAGAGGACCCAGGTTCGATTCCT